GTGCGCTCTTACTCGTCTTCCTTTGCGTGAGAGTGGCTGCGGAAGAGCAACTTGAAATCGTTATGTATAGTAGGCGCGAAGGGGTTAACATATAATTAGGTTTTGCCGCAAGGATGAACGCGTCTTAAATAATGAACGAGCCGCCGACGAGAAGTTGCAACTAGTAAACGCCGATAAAGTTTACCTCGGTCCCGCCGAGCGTTATCACCGGGTACTCTAACCGATCGATACGGAAAACTGTACGGACAGTAGAAAAGTTCCATTCTCACGTTTCTAACGAGAGAAACACAATCGTGGGCGATCATCTCACTAGCGCGGAAACGCGGAGATAAACATCGGCGAAGTCCGATTATAAAATGCTTTTGTATCCTATAATTTATCGCGCATTATATGACGTCTTTAAGATCTGTGACGTCTTCCTCTTATTTACAATCTCTAGATAAAGATGCAAGAAGTTTGATTAATGGATTTACAACAGATTTCCTTCGACGTGTCGCTCTTCCGAAATTTCGCCTCTCGTGTGATGACGGTCGTACAAGTTGCAGTTTAATCTTGCGCGAGGCACAGCAATTCTTTTTTCTCCTCAGCGCCAAGTCCAATATTTATTTCAGCTTATTTACGTAACGTCGCGCGTACGCAAGTCGTTCTAATGATATTCTCATTTTCTCGCGCGTCTACGCCGATTTCCGAGGGAAACCATGCGTCACGTCTTCCACTCCGGGAATTGCGAGATAATAAATAAGAGTTATCTTCGTTGTGAGGTATCGTATTTTTAAGGATGATTTGCAACATTTAATGAGCATCGTAAAAGGGTTTCTTTGGTTCTTTACATCCCAGGTTCAGACAGAATTCCCGTAATAGTGATCGCGAAGTGAATCGTAACGAAACGATCAGAAGCAGCCGAATAATCACGAATTTTTCGTGCCGACACAAGTGGTGGAGGGTGGAGTATCATCAAGCAATGTTGCTTTATCTCCTGTGCGCACATGAACCGTTGTATTACACAAGGAATAATCGTACAACGTTAACGTGTGCTAACGTTACTTGCTCATGCATGGACTGATGTTTCATCTATTACGGGCGTTGCTGCAGATTAGTTTCCGCGGATGACCTTAGGCAAGGGAAGCGCATCGCGCATATATTCTACACCGCGGAATTTATCTTCCATCTCCGCGTTTAACGTCCATTTGTCAACTATATTGCACCCGATATCGGAATCAAGTTCCATATATCACACACACATGACAGATAGGGATCCAAGGATGAAGCACGTTGGATTCTTAGTATCAGTAAATTGCGCTATCTATTCATCGTTCTATTAATGTAACATCACTGTGTTCGATATTTCTGTGCGAGATCTTGAGGTCGCCATTAAAGTATCATTCCTAATACGACTGCGAGAAAATTTAAAACTTAAAAACTCTCGCGTTATTTTTAATACGATTACCTTCTCCAAAAAAATGAAACTTGGACATATGATAAGTATATTCAGGTCTGTGGCAGTGAAATATAATTTTCATGTGTGTGACGTTTCGACTGCAAAAACGTGCACACCGTTCAAAATACTTTTCTTCGAATCGTTTACCGTAGTAACTAACAAAGATTCTAAAGCTAATGAGGAGCGAACATGGATGTAGTAGTGTTATCTTAATATTACAAAGTGTAATATCAAAGTTTATTATAAGAAGATAAAATTATCCAACGTATCAGACGTACGTCCGAAATTTTCTTTCATTAATCGTGCGCGACGAATCAACCTTCCACACTTAGACCGATCCTGTATCCCAGTATTAACGCGAATTTTTTTATTCCCAAACTCGATATCCTTGAGCAATTGATTTCTTTTTATTATTTTAAATGCTGCGAAAAATACCATCTCAGCCAGGACGTACGCTGGACAATTTTATCCTCCTACAATAAACTTTAATATTACACGTTTGTAATATTAAGATAACACTACTAGAATCTTTATTAGTTATTTGAATAATATAAAGGAGCTTCATATATAATTTCGTTTATCGTAGCCCTAAGTAGCGTGTTTGCGCGAGCGGACATGTGAGGTTGTCCGATGTTCCCAGATTCGTCGGAAACGCGCGTGTACAAAAGACGAGGTCGGAACTTATTTAGCACTTCGTAATGCACGCGAATCGGCCCGACGTAAGTTCGCGGGCTAAAGTTAGCACGTGCACGGCCGGCGTCGTTCAATGCACGACGGCGGATTTGTTTGTCGTACGGCGTATCGGCTTTGTGCGGCCGTTCACTGTCGCGTGATAAATTCGTAGCCGTGACGCTCTCGCACGGCGGGAAAACTCACTCTTTCCACACTTTTTCCCGCCTGTCCTCGATCGTGCCTGACGCGAGCCGCATTTGCTTCCGTACGGCGTACTGACGCCGCTGCTCTCTCTCTCTCTCTCTGTCTCTCTACCTCTCTCTATCTCTCTATCTCTCTCTATCTCTCTCTATCTCTCCTTTTCTCTCTCCTTTTCTGTCCTGTCCTGTCCATGGTGTGCGTAAAACGCGATCGATGCCACTCGCTGCCAGTGAGATCGCGAAGTGCACCTAGGGGTGTCTGCGATACTTCGATACCTTCTCACCGATATTGATTACCCGCCCCGTTAATTTCCTTATCTTTGATCTAAGTGTCGAGCTGCAAGATGAAAACTTCAAGATGAAAAAGATAATTCTATGATAACGACACTTTGTCATTGGCCAATTGCAATCAATAACGTCAACATTAACACGTATTATACACGCATACACATATTAAGATTTCAAATAAATTTGTGTGTGATAAGCACATGGTGATGTGATGCTTTACTATTTCCAAAAGTAAGATTTCAATACTGCGTATTTTATTAAAAATATTTATTAAAATATGTAATTTTGCGACTAAGATGTCACTAAACTGAGGAGACATCGATTCCTTCGCTCTCTGATACCATGCACGTCACACACATACATTGATATAATTTCTTTTCTCTTCTATCCAATACTGATACTCTCTTGAATACCGATATTACGCCGCCGTCGTCGTCGCCGTCGCGACGCTTTTGGGTGCAGCGTTTACGTGCGAAATTAGCGAGTTTGCCTTGCGCCGCAAATCGACGTGAAATTGAAGCTATTATTCACGCGACAAACGCTTTCGCGCCTGCCTTTGTGCGACTTGGAGAATTACAGGCGGCCTTTTAGAATCCGCTGATGTACGTTTCACGCTAAGCGACGTGTCCCTCTGTTGCGCACGTCAATCGTGCGCGACGGCCATTCAAGGAAAATCTATGCGGATCCAGTATACGAATCAATGACTCCCACGTGTCTCTGTTTTTTCCTCACATGTCATTACGCACGTATCACGAGTGCTCGTTGCTTGACAGCGTCGATCGACAGCGCTTTTCCGCGCGTCGCGTGGAAAATACCTCCCCGCATCCGTACTTGCTTCTTCTCGCGAGGAAACCTTTATCGTCGTCTGTTTTTTGTCTTTAAGAATGTACTTTTCTGCAAAATGGAAAATTTCGATTTCCGACATATTTAATTCTTTGGAGATAAAAGCATCGCGAAGAGGGAAACAAATTCGTTTAATAAGACGTTCAAATTCGGAAAAACGGAAGTCGAAGAAACAGAATCGCGGAGAGACACACGACGAGCCTAGAGAGAGACCATCGCATATGTAGCCCTTTGATTGCTCCGTTCTTCCGGTTTTATTAGGCAACAAGACGCTCGTCTTACGAGACATCCGTGTTTCTGTGTTGCGTACGCGTAAATATTTATACGGCGAGTCTGTTAAAATTCTTAAGTACGCGCGTGCATATATACATACACATACATACAAACACATACATACACACCTGTATGGAATCTCGAGATGGTAATGAACGCTCGAGGGAGAGTAATCGACCTCGTTGTTTAAACTCTGGATCGGACATAAAATTAGAGATAAACCGAGATAAAAATATAAATCCAACCCTTTAGTTGGAGTTACGATGATATTCCACGTCGGACACTACGTCGGGACGCGTGATGCATCTAATTTTAGAAAATCGTAGCATTAGGTTAGTGCCAAAAGTTCGTCATGTCTGTCAAGTCAAACAGAAAACGAAATTATATAATTTCGAGAGACTAATGATTTTCACGAATATAAAATATACAACATCGACTCGATATTTTTTTTTAGATACTGCATACATATAATTGCTGATAAGGGAGTTTAATCTCTCGTTACTTTATTATCCAAGAAAATTAATTTGCGACCTGATAATATTTTTCGTAGAGATAGTTGAAATAATGTAATGACGTGGCGCATTTTTGTAACCAATACAAAAAAAGACTCGTCGTTGACATGCTGACGCAGCGGACAACAAGCGGAATTCGATAATATCGAGTAGGTTTCTATGAATTCAATCTGTCCGGCGTCATCGTGTGTCGTCTGCTGTTTGAACCTCTCGGAGATTTAACGCTTCACGGATTGTCACCTGCAGGTTCCGCCCGACCGAAGTACACCCATTTTGGACGCCAAATTCATTTACGTGGTTTCCTCCAATTTGTCCGCGTCATAGAAATTATGGGACTCGGGATTCCCGACATCTCCGTGTAATTTCAAGTAGGACACCTTAAAGCGGACCCGTTAAAGCGCGCTCGAATACTTCGCGTTCGACTCTCATTAGGTAAATAATTCCTACGCACACATCCGTAAAACTATCAGCGCTCACCGTTTAACTATTCATAAACCTTTCAAAGCATTCTTTGAGCGATCCGCGCATACCGCATACTGCGAAAGTGTTGCAAAGCTTTTAAACGCGCTACCTACAATCAGTCGTTAAAAGCATTTTTTTCAAACGCTATTTGTAAAATGTCGCGATTTTATGATAATAATTGTTAATTGATATCACTTCGACTTAATTTTCCACGAACGTGTATATTCCGTTGGCATTATAAGGAATTCTTTTTTTTAATTTTTACAATGGACATGTCGTATTCTAACACATTTCTCTTTTTCTCTGTTGCAGAATTGCCAGCTGAGGAGGGTGAGTACTGTCGCCGTTATCGTTGCGTGACGTAGAGAGCAGGTAAGGTCTCGCAACAAATTGGCATACGTGGCGACGTAAGTCTACTCCCGATGGAGCGCGGTAGCCTCGCAAACTGGAAACTCAACTTTTCCCTATTTGCCATTCGCTCTTATATCGAGCCGTAACTACTGATTTGCATGCGAAGTCACGAGTTTTTCAATTTGCGAGTTGCCGAAACTCACTTAGCCCGGCTCTCTCGCGACGAACGCGCGTCTCTCGCAGGGGAGTGAAGACTAGGCGCCATGCGAAAGCACTGCTATCAAAGTAGGCCAGCCGGGCTGTTCCTGGAGCTCCATAAGCTGCCGAGCATTAGCGTCGCACGCGCTACATTATTACGTGCACTCGCGGCGCACTTACACATACGAGTGTGACGCGCCGGTCCGTCGCCGCCCACACAAAAACAAGAGCCCCAGTGTTGTCTTCGCGATCTCCAGTAACGAAATGAGAGGCGTTCATCAATCAAGAGTCCGATGAATTTATAACAGAAGTGAAAAAGCTGGTTTTCCTTTGCGACTAACGACAGTTGTTCACAGTTTTGGCTATAAAGTTCTCTTTTGGAACTATAGACTGCAGGCAAGAAATATAACTGCAATGCTAGTTACAAGAAAAACCAGTTTTTCTCCAGAGTGTCAATGACTAAGGGGATTTCAATAATTGAATGTTTCACCTTGTTCTTGTTTAAGATTGTTCACGTTTAATTTTTTACTGACTGAAAATTGCTCGACTTGACGTTCCTCCGTCATATATTTTCCATATCTTCGCTCGTTTTGCTCGAGGACGATTCCATTTAATGCGACAGAGGTAAACGGCTCGAGCTTTTGAACGCGACATCACGCAATAACGGACAACGACCGCGGAAACAAATGGCGCGACATCGTTCGCAATCGCGCGAGCCCGAACTCAAGAGTGGAATTCAAGAGTGTGGGCCACTCACTCCATTTACCGGGGTAAGACGCCACTGCGGAGCGTCGGTACGTCGCCTTCGACTCGGCTGTAATTGCATCGGCATTGCACCCGGTGCACTCGACCCGCGGCGGAGAGGCTCGCACTATCTTCGCTCGCTCACTCGCGCTCCGACCTTCGGCGACGGATCGACCCGCCGTCGTTACCGCTCTCACTATTGCCCGCCGTTATTATCGCCCGTGACGCGGAGCTCTGCCGTGTGTGGCTGCGAAGAAAAGGGGAACGGAAAATAGAATCGGACGTATCCGCCGCGGACGGTGTGCTCTCGCGTTTCTTCCGGATGTACAAGCGCGATCACGCAGATCAAGCCGCGAGCCTTAATTAGATTAAGTCGAGGCGGAATTGGGTTAAGAGCCTGCGAGTTAACGCCGCAAGATCGATCGTCAGTTTGACTGACGTGCAATCTATATATCATATTATAGCCGCGTTACCGGTATGTATGCACATCGCGCACGAGCGAATAATTTAGCGTTCCATATTAAATTGGCTCCATTACGTGTTATTAAAACGCGCTTGTTACGTGAGACGTGATAGATTTCGTCGATCAGCAAACTGACGACCCTTCCGCGGGGATGTGTATTCGCGTCCTTATCGAAAACGATGAGATAAGATAGGTTGAGACGTCATTGAATTAATGCCGATTTGAACGCAGTATCCGAACGGCGACGAGATCTCATCTGTGCTTCTCTGCGATAACGTAGAAATAAGATTTTCAAGAGGCGCTCTCTTCCCTTTTTCCCCTTTCATCACTTTTTATTTATTTATCGGCTGCCTAATAGGATTTTCTTTCACGAAACTGAAACGCGAGGGCGATTTTCCCGATAGACCTCGGGACCTCGATATCACTCGAGAAAAAAAGAAAAAGAGGTTCATTTTCGAATTCATTCAAGAACGAACAGACTTTCTCGTTACGATAGGAAATTGCGTTTGTCTGAGCCTGATGATCGCTTTTTCTCAGTCTCTTGTCTCGGCGTGATTAGCATTATTCAGAAGACCCAACCGCCTGGAATATAGCATTGAGCGTTCTTGGTTGATGGAATATGCAGAATATTTTCGATAAATTGGAAAATATCGGAATTTATCCGCCATGTTTCTCTGTGCAAAGAGAGCATATTTTATATACATTAAAGGACGAGAAAGAAGAAAAAACCAAAAGTAAGTTCGCAACGGAATGTTCTCCTCACGGAAATCCCGAAAGGATTTCGGAGGATCTACGCTGCTTCGATTATTTCTCTGTTATTCTCGCATCTTACTTAATATGGAGGAATCATCGCATGCATCGGTGGTGGGTGATAAAGGTCGTATTAATGAGATTCCTGTCATAAATTAATCGCGTGGCCGATTACAAACGCGTAACTGCCTGTAACCGCTGTCGGCTCTATTCGCCATACACGTGTGCGTATGTCTTTACCTATGTGGACACCCATACTGTATCGACCGATTGACAACGTCTATTGTCACACGTTGAATCCGGTAATGAAGCATGTCGCTATACACACGCAGGTACGAGGGAGAGAGAAAGAGAGAGGGGACGAGACAGAGAGAGACAGAGAACCAGGAAGGTGAGAGAAATATAGCGGACTATACGATGATGCAGTGCGTCATAGCATGATATTAATTTCCAAGATGCGGTGGAATGTGAGCTGCGGCGGAATTACGTGCAATTTACGCAACGAAAACACGCGTGCTACATATTCATGTTACCAATGAAACTTGCAAGCGATAAATCATAAAAGAAGAAAAGGGTACTCTTAACACGTACGCGAGAGAAAATGGATTATATATTAATATCGTGTAGAAGTTATATGTATCGTCGCTCTTCTCTCGGTAAAAGAGAAAAGATGCGAAGAGGAAGCTCTCACGGAGCGGAAAAGAGAAGAGGAAAGATGGAACAGAGAGAGAGAGAGAAAGCCGTACTCTCGTAATTGCTGGGCAATCGAATTTTCGTTCGTTCTGGCCGCTCCGCTATAAATTACAATTAATGAAATCGTCAACCGTGGAGCAATGACGTGACGTCAATCGCGTGCAGGCAAAAGGCACTCGTCGTCAAGGACGACCAGGGCTTATGCCCCTGACTAGTATCCACTGCTTCTTCCTGACCGCATACACTATATTTTCTTTCAGCATGCTCTTGCTGACGTTATAAAAGTGCACCTAAACGCGAAACAGTGCCCATCTGCTCACGAAAGCGCTCCTTCTTTGCAACGTTGAATTAAATCGCAAGTGGGAGCGAGTATGCATGTATGTGTGTGTGTGTGTTCGCGTCACAAAACACACGTGTTGCTTTGGATTAAAATAGAACTTACGGCTACGGTGAGTAGAATATTATGTTGCATACGCGGTTTACTTAATTCCTGATTTCTAATTCGAGCATAACGCGATCAAAATCTTTCTCCCCTTTTCTCTCTTTCTCTCGCGAATTCCTACGTTGAGTCCTTCCGTTAAATTTTTATGAAAGATAAGAAAATTGTCAGTTTCGACATCTTGTCTGTCGTAGTGACTTCACGATTCTCGTTCGAATTGTTTTTCTTCGCGCGTGCGAAATTATGTCAATAAAATGTACCATCAAATGTACATGCAGTTTATGATGCAGCAGGAATGCGTAACAATGTAGCATTGTTTTCAATTGCATAGATTACGCTGTAGTCTATGCATTAATAATAGTAGGTTGTTTCCTTCGAAGCAATGTTGAAGAGGAGTCTGATGTATAATTTGACGTGATAATTCCACATATCTCATAATTCCCACGTAAATTTAATGCCAATTTGTTGCGGGAGTAGTTCTCGAGTTACGAAATCGAATACCGTTGAAGTTATTCGAGGAAATACATTTTTTTAATATTTCTCTGATTTAATATATTTCATTAATGTATAATTTTACTTAATTTTCATTAATTTCATTAATTTTTGCTTACAGGAAAATCCATCTGGCAACTCGTCCTGGAACAGTTCGATGACCTTCTAGTTAAGATTCTTCTATTAGCTGCTATTATTTCTTTTGTAAGTATTAGACGCGATGGAACACGTTGTTAAAAGAGAAAGCGAATATACCTCATCGTCCAAGATACGAATTAATTTATATAAAAAACTAGACTCTATATTGTCACGCAACTGTCGAGATCATATAGTCTTCTGAAAGAATATGTACGTAATGTGACTTGGAGATACTCTTTTCCTAGTCGAATTTTCCGGTATATGCCGCTCCGCTAAAAGCGCTGTAATTATATGTTTACGGGGGTTCAAGGGTAAATGAGGCTAAATATACCTTCCATGAGAGGTGAAAAAATAGCATATTGATCTCAAGTAGCCATGGTGATCTGATTTTCTTCTAGCGCATAAGAGAAATGTATAACATTCACTCTCTGGGGTTCGATCTATCAATTGTAGAAGTAAACAAACGTTTGTTAATCAGTGCGCGTCGTCAGGCGTTGTGTGGACGTGTCAATGAAGCTCGCGTGTGTAAACAACTGGTACACCTCATGATAGCTCGAACAGAAAAAGCCTCGAGGAAAAAGAAACTAACAAAACTGTTTGAAAAAGGTTTTCTTATTTTCACAGTGTATAATTTCACAGTGTATATTTCAGACTCAAGATTTTTACAAATTTATCGCTAGACTCTACTATGATCTTTATTATTGACTGAATTTTTGGAAATTAAATGAAATTTCTAAAGAATTCTTCATTAATGTCTGTCGAAAAAGTGGTGATATAAGTTCCGAGGAGTTCGCGAAAGTTTTCGGTTCGTTTATTCTTTCCGCTCACGACGTCTCTCTTCCAAGTGACAAAGAGTGATTAAAAATCTCCACTCTCTCTTTTCCAACTTTCCTATTCGTGCCACGCTGATCGATTACCCGTCTCTGGCCAGGTATTAGCCTTATTTGAAGAACACGAGGATGCGTTCACGGCCTTCGTCGAGCCCTTCGTCATCCTGCTCATCCTTATCGCCAATGCCGTGGTCGGCGTCTGGCAAGAACGGAACGCTGAGTCCGCGATTGAGGCGCTCAAGGAGTACGAACCTGAGATGGGTAAGGTCGTACGATCGGACAAGTCCGGCGTCCAAAGGATCAGGGCCAAGGAGATCGTGCCCGGTGATGTGGTAGAGATATCGGTCGGCGACAAAATCCCAGCCGACATCCGTCTATCCAAGATCTTCTCGACCACCCTCAGGATTGATCAATCCATTCTGACCGGTGAATCGGTATCCGTAATCAAGCACACCGATCCTATACCCGACCCGCGTGCTGTCAATCAGGTTTGTAAAACTATATCTGTATAAGTAGTAATTTCCGCCAAATATATTTTTATCAAATTCTTTAAGTCACAGTGATATATTTGAAATCAAAATTATAACTGAAAAAATTTTTCTAAAAAGCTCGAGCATATAATAGCAGGGGAATAATTTTGTCGAGTAGTTGTTCGAGTAGCATAAACGATTTAAGTTTCTTTCGAAAAAAAAATATTTCAGACTATTCTTCACAATAACGATTTTCACAATAACATTTTTTAAATATAATACGAATCTTTCAGATACATATGTGACACACTGTTATTAAAGACTGTTATTATATTAGGATTACTAAGAAAAATTTTCTTGCACACATTGATATCATACACAAACTCCCCAAAGTATCCATCAGCTCTAATTATCCTTGATTTGATTTGATCAAAGAGCCTTACTATCATTCGATTGGTTTTCAAAATTTATTTCTCCAAGTTCATTTCTTATAATAAACTCTTGTTTGGCAATATTGTTTCTTTAGGATAAGAAGAACATCTTGTTCTCTGGTACCAACGTCGCCGCTGGCAAAGCTCGCGGTATCGTCATTGGAACCGGCTTGAACACGGCTATCGGTAAGATCCGTACGGAGATGTCGGAAACCGAGGAGATCAAGACACCGTTGCAGCAGAAGTTGGACGAATTCGGTGAACAGCTGTCGAAAGTGATTTCCGTGATTTGCGTCGCCGTGTGGGCCATTAACATCGGCCACTTCAACGACCCGGCTCATGGTGGATCCTGGATCAAAGGTGCTATCTACTACTTCAAAATTGCCGTCGCTCTCGCTGTAGCGGCCATTCCTGAGGGTCTGCCCGCTGTAATTACGACTTGCTTGGCTTTGGGCACTAGGCGTATGGCTAAGAAGAACGCCATTGTACGATCTTTGCCATCCGTCGAGACTCTGGGTTGCACGTCCGTTATCTGCTCCGATAAGACCGGCACTCTAACGACTAATCAGATGTCTGTTAGCCGGTAAGTCGATTATACGAAGAAGACTGTTAGAATGTAGTTATCGATTCTTATTAAGTTCAATGAATGTTCAATGAAAAAATAACTTCCCTTTTCTTCTCTCTTTTCTTTCTCGTTTAGACACGAAATGTTAATTTGCATGTACTTTAAAACGTTGCAACGTTTGCAGAATGTTCATCTTTGACAAGGTCGAGGGTAACGACAGCACCTTCCACGAGTTTGAGATCACCGGATCGACTTACGAGCCCATCGGTGAGATCTTCCTGAGAGGACAGAAGATCAAGGGACAAGATTACGAGACGTTACAGGAGATCAGTACTGTCTGCATCATGTGCAACGATTCCGCAATCGACTTCAACGATTTCAAACAGGCATTCGAAAAGGTCGGCGAAGCCACAGAAACCGCCTTAATTGTTCTTGCCGAGAAGATCAACCCGTATGGCGTCTCGAAGAGCGGTCTAGACCGCCGTGCTGGCGCTATCGTAGTCAGGCAAGATATGGAGACGAAATGGAAGAAGGAGTTCACGCTGGAGTTCTCTCGCGATCGCAAGTCCATGTCGTCATACTGCGTGCCGCTCAAACCATCGAAACTGGGAACCGGACCGAAGCTATTTGTCAAGGGCGCGCCTGAAGGTGTGCTGGACAGGTGCACGCACTGCCGCGTTGGTGGCCAGAAGGTGCCTCTCACGTCGACTCTGAAGAACCGCATCTTGGACTTGACTCGGCAATATGGAACCGGCAGAGACACGTTGCGCTGTCTCGCCCTCGCCACCGCTGACCACCCGATGAAGCCCGACGACATGGATCTGGGTGACTCCAGCAAATTCTATACCTACGAGAAGGATCTCACGTTCATCGGCGTAGTAGGCATGCTTGATCCACCTCGCAAGGAAGTACTCGACTCGATCGCGAGGTGCCGTGCCGCCGGTATTCGTGTAATCGTCATCACTGGTGACAACAAAGCCACCGCCGAGGCTATCTGCCGACGTATTGGTGTGTTCGGTGAGGACGAAGATACCACCGGCAAGTCGTACTCCGGACGTGAATTCGACGACCTTGCTACGTCGGAACAGAAATCTGCTTGCGCTAGAGCTCGTCTCTTCTCCCGTGTAGAACCGGCTCACAAGTCCAAGATCGTAGAGTACTTGCAAAGCATGAATGAGATCTCGGCTATGGTGAGTACCGACATTATTCTAAATAATATCTGTTTCAATCTTTTTATTATTAAGCAATATATTTACAGATATATATTAACAATATTTACTCTTTGTTTTGCTCTTTACAGACCGGCGACGGTGTAAACGACGCTCCCGCATTGAAGAAAGCTGAAATCGGTATTGCTATGGGCTCCGGCACTGCGGTCGCGAAATCGGCTTCGGAGATGGTGTTGGCAGACGATAACTTCTCCTCCATTGTAGCCGCTGTTGAGGAAGGCCGTGCCATCTACAACAACATGAAACAGTTTATCCGTTATCTAATTTCTTCCAACATCGGCGAGGTTGTCAGGTACTTACGCAACATAACGAGGAGACTTACGTCGGACATTTATCTATATTGACGTTTTTTACTTCGTAGTATATTCTTGACCGCCGCTCTTGGTCTTCCCGAAGCTTTGATCCCAGTGCAACTTCTGTGGGTCAATCTGGTCACTGATGGTCTTCCAGCTACTGCTCTCGGCTTCAACCCGCCCGATCTCGACATCATGAGCAAAGTGAGATATCGATTAAAGGAGATAAATGCGTTGTCATATATGAAGTCTCAACTATCGTGCATCTTTTACAGCCTCCCCGCAAAGCTGACGAATCTCTGATTTCTGGATGGCTATTTTTCCGCTATTTGGCTATTGGTGGATATGTAGGTGCTGCCACCGTCGGCTCGGCTGCCTGGTGGTTCATGTACAGTCCAAATGGACCTCAAATGAACTACTACCAAGTGGTAAGTCCGTTCACCATTCACATTTGAACTTCAGAGAATCGCCGAAGTAACCAGAATTTTCTTTATTGTTCTCAATTATTCACGCGAAATTCGCAGACTCATCACTTAGCGTGTCTTGGTGGTGGAGACGAGTTCAAAGGCATCAACTGCAAAATCTTCGCGGATCCTCATCCCATGACGATGGCTCTCTCTGTACTGGTCACTATTGAAATGTTAAACGCCATGAACAGGTGAGGAAAGGATTATCGACGTATCTCGTATATATTTGAACTGGCTTTTCGCAGTTGTGAGTAAATCTGTATTTCCTGCACAGTTTGTCGGAGAATCAGTCGCTCATCAGCATGCCGCCTTGGTCTAACATGTGGCTCATCGCCTCCATGGCCCTTTCTTTCACACTCCACTTTGTCATCCTGTACGTCGATGTTCTTTCGGTAAGTGTGCTTGCGTCGAAAACACAACGGCAAACGACTTGACATGATAGCTCAAGGTGCAAAAGAACGCGAATCGAAAATTTCGTGGAATGTAAGCACTTCTAATCTTTCTGTTTCAGGCCGTATTCCAAGTGACCCCGTTATCGAGTGAAGAATGGCTTACCGTTATGAAGTTCTCCATTCCAGTGGTACTTCTCGACGAAACCTTGAAGTTCATTGCCAGAAAGATCACAGACGGTGAGAATCCAATTTACACCGTACATTGGATTGTTCTAATGTGGGCTGTGTTCTTTGAACTGTTGTATATCTGTCCCATATAGAACGTCCGTGAGATAATATTATTAGTCTAGCAGACGATGTTTTTTTCCTATGGAAAAGCATCCGCGACTAAATCCTTGGACTTGCAATTTGCATTTAACCGAAGCTCTTCCCTCCGTGACGCGGGAAGGCGCGAGATAAGTTATTAACAGAGAGTGCGTTCAAGTGAGATTTTAACCACAGTTTGACTGTTGTGCATGGTGTTAGTGCGACCATACGAGAAAAAAAAAAGAATATGCCCACTAAGGCCCACCATGCCCGCATCATACACACCGTACCTTCTCCCCTGATGTCGCTCAACGATCACGAGTTTCGATTGACATCGAGTGATCTAAGAGAGACCCGTCGTAATCAAAGATTGTGATCGTTAAATTATTTTCTACGAGTGCCTTTTGAATATTGAATTTCCTCTGCAACAAACACGGAACTGTTCATAGATGTTCTTTCTTATAAATACGTTCGGTGACTTCCTTTTCACTCCATGCGTCCCATGCACTTACTATTTATATTTCTTCTTTTCTCCCCAATTTCGTACTCTTTGTTGTAGTTAGCACCCGATAATTGTCGATTATATAGTATACTAATAATAGTAGGGTTGATTTTAATTTTCGCATGCCTTCCATCTATGTTTCTCGCCGATAAAATCGTTTGCGGTTGCACGTCGAGTCTCTGACTTTCGACGTCGCATTTCGTCCCAGCCGGGGTTCTGTATACCATCTTTTATATATTAGTACTATGCTTAGTATATAGATGTATCACTACATGTGTTGCGCGTTAATTAGACGCCAAAAATCGAAACAAATGCAAATCACACTGCTCGAGAAATTGGGCGAGTTTTTTAATTTGATGGATCCATCGATGAATTAAAAAACTTGCCCGGGCGCGGACCGTGGCTGAGAAGAAACGCACCGAGAATATCCAGTCTCGAGTCGCAAAAGATCGTAGTTTTTACGACGCAAATTTTTATATCTCCTCGCACGTTCGCGACATATAATTGATCCCGATCGATTTGGAAAGTACAAAGTAGTTTGCTCGTTAACGGCACACCGGGCGAAGTAATGGCTTTGGCTGCGACGCGCAAGTTGCAGACAAATACACACGGCGCCTACATGAACTTGTGTCACGTGGCAATCCCCTTAGAGTATATAACATGCATTTACACAACGAAGACAATAAGTAACGATCGGCAGAAGTATAGATGGAACTCACTATCTCTCTATCTTCCCCTCTCTCTTTCTCTCTTTCGATAGTAGTGTTATATTTGTCTCCTTTATAATTTTCTTTTCAGGCTGAGTCTATTGCACGCACGCTGCACGAATCGGCAATACGTTTCGACTCGCGCGATTAACGTACAATCGTTCATTAAATTCCGCTTATACACGTTTCCGTTGCTTTAAGTGTCGCTTGTTTTTAATGACACATTAATTGGTGGTTTCTTAATGTCTGGTCTGTCCGTTTCGATGCAGTCAAAACTGGAACAACCACCTGGCAAATTTCAAGAGAATGATCATACAGGGACTTTGTATTAACGGATCTCATTTTGTATCCCGCGACACCACCGTGTCTTCCTCCCTCGTAGCGATAAAATGCATGCACGGTGTGATTAATAGCACGTTTTGTGTTTCCCTTTATTCTGTTGTAATCTGTGCTTCTCGGTAATCATATTGTATATCCTGCTGTGCCAATATGCGATCGACGAGTATAACAGTTCAACGACTTCCACAGATCTCTGTGCGAGAGATAACGTCGTTAACGTTTTAGCAAAGCAAGAAGCTGCGTTCCATGTACGCGTTTATACGCATTATATCGTTCACAGCTTGTAACGGGACAATCGTGTAAGCAAAATGTTGTAAATAGAGTTAGCCTCTTCTTGGACGAACTAGCCGTCGCGGAGTATTCAGCAAAGATACATTTTTTAGAAATGATTCCCAGCGTGACTGGCACAGCAGGATTTTTTGTCTCTAATTTCTCCCACTGTGCATACGCACTGTATACACACACACGCATCCTGTCCCTCATATGTGTACTCCCTATACGTGTGATTTTATGTATTCTCTAAAAATTGATTGTCATGCAAGAGATTTATCGCTAATTTCCGGATATGGACTGCAAAGGCTCGTAAGTGTAAAAATAAGGCAACCGTCAAGCAGAGGAAAATAGTGACGTCGTGAAATTTCTCATGCGCTCGAAACAGACGGGGCAGTCCATGCGTTTTCTAATGCATTTGTTCATGTTTACTATCATATTTACTATCAGAGCAGTGTTCCGAACACGCAAACACTCAATATCGAAATTGATTGTCCCTTTTGATATTGATAGCGATATTAAATCGTCATTCTTTGATCATCGAATTAACGAGAATATGACATGTTTTTTTTTCTTTTTTTTTTTTTAATAAATTTATTACCAACATCAGCGATAGTCTCACTTTACACTTAGCATTTTCTACACACCCTACTCCTGAAAATTTCGTATTTCTTTCAAAAATTTGTCCGTATTAAAGTTTTGCAGAAACATATTTAATTACAAAAATCTTATTTCAACGAAACTTCGCAAATAAGCGGAGCAGCTCGATGAGTGAATTTTTGGTTTACGCCGAAGATTGTGATTTCAACGCGTAAAAGAAAAAGTTCCTAATTATCCCCTCTCTAGATATTCTCATCGCATAAATTATTCAACACTAAAGACTCATGTCACGGCAAATTGCGTTAGTGGAAGTCCCAAGGACTCATCTCCGAATTTCTCTTCGACGAGTGACGTCTCTCCATTCGGAGGATTGTATCTCAGCGAGCTGGAGACAATTCATTCATCGAGTTTGTTACGCGTATTCGCAGGGTTTTGTACGCGATCGGTCGAGGACACTTGTCGATTGAGTGAACACGAGTTCGGCCACTGCCTTAGCTACACGCGCCACTTGCGAAACAAATAATCGGTGTCGTCACGAGTACGTGGGCCTTCGATGCATCTGGCCGCTCGGGTCAGTTGATCCCTCGGATCTTGTTCTGTTGGCGGGAGCGTAATCGTGGTTGGTAATCACGAAGGAAAGACCGAAATCGAGGGAGTGCCGAAAGGGAGATGACGCTGTCCCACTTTCAGTCGTTCCTTTTCTCATTCGCCAGCAGCACGTATGGAAACTCTCATTTCACGGCAGGACGATGTTCTCGAATCTTGTCCTTTGGCTACGTTCGATCGCAGCTTCGCTGAAGAACGACGAAACTTGCAGCGACAAAGAAAGCGATCAGCGGTAGCGGAGAGACGAATTTCGCGTCGTCGTGTCGCGGATGTAGGCGCGCTTCGCAAAACGGCTGTGTCTCCCGCCAGCAGTGCACGACCCGAGGCTTATCCGGATCTTCGTAGAGATCGCCGCGATTCAGTGCGCGCCACTTCTCGAACACGTGCAAACGCAACAAGACTGACGATGTGTTCCGCGGAGGAGTGGATCGTCCGCTGCTATCGGCGCGCGACGCATAATAATGATAATATTAATAATTTAATTGCGCCGCGTGGTCGGCAACTCAGAAGCTGGCCGCGGTCGCGCGGTCACGATATAGTGTAATATAATTAATTAATTAGTAACGGTTAAGGCGTGATACTTTTGGTATGGGCATAACTAAACTTAATCGGACCAAACGAGTTAGCGCTGCCATGCACTAACGAACTTGTGTCTCGAGTAGTGTTCTGTTCCGCAAGTAACGCGATTGGTTTTTCAGCGAGAGATAAGCTACTGGCGCGTGTCCCTCGGCTGGTACCTGTGATCCTTGCGGGAGATAACTGTACGGAAACCATTCGCGCGATGAATTCCACGTCTCGCGGAAGCACGATCAGATCGAGTAGCATGGTGAAACGTATCGCGAGCTGTGCCCGATTTTCGCACGCGCCAAGTAACTTCGATTTTCGCTCGTAAAAGGAGTCTTTATCGTATACATCGGCGGAAGTTAACGGAACTTCAAACCACTATCTGTCTCCTCATAGAGGTGAAGAACCGTAGACGAACCGGAGAATCGGTTAAAACTCCGTTAACTTTAATCAGTGTTTATAGAAGCCGCTCATAGACTCTCAGAGAGATAAAACTAGACGAGAAACTCCGAGTTCGTTCTCACCTGGCAATTTCCTGAGCCAACTTCTTCGAAAGTCTTCGCGTTCACCCCGACGCGTCGGGGCGCAGAATTCTCGAATGCATTCCCGACTCGGATGTAGCGCGATCGACTAACTAACAGCATACGATCACTGGAGCACAGGTATCACACGCTGGGGATCCACGCCCGTGTGAAGAGTCTAATGCAGTTCTGTGACGCTCAATAAACCCGACGAAAATAATCGCGGGGGCCCGGATACAAGGGGGTGCAAGCGACGAGTCTCGAAGGAACTCGAGAACAGCTTCGAGCCCGCGCTTGATCGAACTCGAAGATCCGGGAAAAAGGGGGACTCTAAATGCGAAGTAGAGCACGAGTACCCGCAGGATCGTATTCACGAGAAACGACAGCTCGCGAAGTCCCATCCATGAATGAACACGCGCTTTTTATCGGATTCTTCGGGATTCGCATTAGCTTGGTGTATCTCTTTGCGTCCGGATCACCCGATTCGCTCTGCGTTCGTCCACGATATATCTGTAAGTACTTGAGTGTGCATTGTATCTTACGTTGATCGAGAATGACGGAGTAGTGCCATCTCGACGAAGAGAGAATACTGCGTGGCGTCATGCAAATATCGATGTGTTCGCTTGTCAGAAGGTGAAATTTTAGCGTGTACGTTTTCTTAATTTATTTATTATTGTGCTACCTCCTGAAAACAAACACACATACACACACAAGATGGTAACATTCGTTCTCGTTGCAACTCTTTGCATACCTCACATATCACATATACAATTTATTAATCCGTGACTTTCGAACGAGAGAGAAACTAAACTAAAGACGAGGAGAAAGAAACTAAAAACGAGGAGAACAGCGAGTGAGAAATTATTCTTTCTTATCTATGGAAAAAAAGAAATATTCGATTCACTCACGTGCATCTGAAAGCTGGTTTCTCGGTGAACGTTCTCATCGACTCTTGTGTGACGTCGTTACGAACAAACACGGTGTCCAGCGACGATGAGACTACGATCGCGTCGTTTCCTGCAGGAAGTACCTATCTCTAACGATAATAAAGTAATGTTAATATTAATAACTTATGGATTGCATTACGAACATCGAGTGATTTCGAGTATAAATACATATATATATATATTCGCCGCGGATCGCGCTTCGCGGCGTGTGACGCCCGGTACGAGTCCGAATGACAATTCCGATTCGTAGTTACAGAAATGAAGAGATGAAAAAAAAATTAAATGATGAAAAATAAAGAGATATAAATAAAGGGAGGGGGTAGAGAAATTATAAAACACGAATCCGAACGTTTGCGCGGGTTACGATGCAGTTCTATATATAATACGATAAGCATAATTACATCTCGTCGTATAATTATCGTCATTTCCTTGTATTGGACGCTGGTGCGTTTACGATTCGTCTTTTATTTATCGTCTGATTTTTGTCGTCCTTGTCGTGTATTCGATACGAGCTCGTACGGAACGATATTATAACAAGTGAGTGAGCGTATGTCGGTGGTACGATTAGTGCATTACTTGTTATAATAAAAAGAATCATGTGTTACTAATGCGTGTACCGATGTCTCAATGATCTCGGCCTTATTACTAATTCGAGCGAGCGCGAGTTCCGCTTGGAATCTGTCTATTTGGCGTTGCGTGTGTTTACCAGCGGATCGAACACTTAATACAACGCTGGCGTAAGTGTTGGATTCAGTTCGCCCTCGCCTAAAACACTCTAATTTGTCTTTTCCTCTTATTGTCTGTTATCCATCCTGCGACATCCTGAGTCACTGTAATCGGAGCTAGCTCGAGACGGTCGGACCTCGGTGAGCCAAAGTGATTTAAATTTGTAATTTCATCTCAGAAATGTTCTATCAGAGATCAATCGTTAGTTTCTAATTAACTTAAATTTCACTGATATGTTTTAATTAACTTTAAGTACAAATTATTTCGATTTTGATTATTATTTCATTTGAATTTTATTTGTTAATATTATAATTTTGTTAATATTATAATTTTTCGTACCTTATTTTAATTATTTTAAATTATTAAATACAAATTTTAATTATATTTTGTCACTTTTAATATAAATTATTTTGATTTTGATTATTAATTTCAATTTTATTGGGGTTAATATTTAATTTTAATTATATTTTAATTAATTTTAAATATAAATTTGGAACTATACTCTTTAATAAAATAAATATGATCCGTTCGACGTTTGAGATAGCTCTGATCGTAATTCGAAGAATTTTCAACGTGACAAACCGAAAAGTTCATACAAGGACTTGTCAGCGGGGTACCACCACCTCGTGCAAGTTTGCCACGTCGGACCTGTGTGGAGACAAGGTTTCGGAAAACAAAAATATTCTGCCTCCGTCCATCCACGTAACATCGAAGTGCCGTTGTTCAACTCCGAGTCCACGGTGTCTCCGTTCTTCGTCATTAATCGTGGCTACTATGTGTTCCGTCGCCCTCTTTTATCTCTCCCCATTCTATCTGAAATCTGTTGTTTGGAGTTTCTTTGCATGCGTTCACTGGAAAACAGACCGATGTGATAACTGTCGTGTCGATCCGGAATGACCCAAGTCCTAAAACTCGAGGAAGTTGAAAAGAACCCCCTTCGCGACACATCGCGCGACCTCGACACCCCTTTCGCTAACTCCTGCCTGCTGGTGTGCCAAACTGTACAGTCACGGAGCTCACAGGAGAGTGATCTTCAGGGATTACGACGCGCACGTCTGGATAACCCAGGTAATGTTGAAACTGCCAATTTTAAGACTTACAAGATAATATTTAATTAACTGTATGCTATAACACCACACATACACATTCTCATTTCACGCAACTACATTCCGAGATGGAACAATTAGCTACTTGACAGCTATATCTTCTTATCGTTGTTTAAAGAGACTGTGATTTTTTTGTCGTGTAATATGTAATCTCTGTCGTATAACACATTCCGTAAAAGAAGTATCTCAAACTTGTGAAATGTTCTGCATTTTGACAGAATTCTAAATGGAAATCTACAGAAATCTTCATATTTCTTGATTCATTCTGTATATAGCAATTACTCTTGTTATCACACTCTAATTTCCGATCAATGAACGATTAATAACTTTCTTCAAGGATCTATATCGCATTACATGTTCGTTCCTAGTAATATCTTCGATGTGATACTACTCGATCTTCATGATCAAGCGTACACGCGTACACATCCGCTGTGTTAACAACGCATCGCCATCGTTGCTGGCTTGATCGACTGACTAGCAGCTGCTGCATCCCGCCCCGTAGTGGACCGGCGAGGCTTACGAGCTAAGCCAGCGAGAGCGGCTTGGCGTGTGGTGAAATAATCGTTGTTACCCTCGTATGATTGCAGTGGCACTGGAAGTGACCTCGCCGAAATAAAGAACGAGAGGGCGAAAATACGAGAGACACCTTAAATTGGCCGCGAGAAATCGGCAATTCAGCACTCGCACGACACCCTCGAGCTGCTCGATGGGACCGGACGTCTTTAATAACCGAACCAAAAAAAAAAAGGAATCCTAATGCACCTCACACACATATGCACCATAATAAAGCACCAACCAACACCAACTCGCGCACGCACGTATACGTACGCACGCACGTGCGCCACGTGGGTGGCGATACGCGCGTGTTCGTGTCGTGCGACGATAATCGGCATCCAAGATCGACCTTCCCAGCGCGGGATGATGAAAAAAAAAAAAAAAACAGAGAAACAAAAACAAACAGGACGAAACAGAACGAATGTACGAGTAGTTTTGTGGTGTTTAGGGTATTATATCGCGCAGTCGCACGCGACTACGTCCGCAATATAATTGATATTGTTATTTATTACACGTTGTACGCGCGCTCTAGCGGGTTTCTAATGATGTGATGGTTGTGATGATAAACGAATAAGGGTATTGATTCTACTTGAGTTGCTCAGAGGTTGTTACCTTACTTCACTCGTCACTATTCTGCACCGGCAGAAACCACCGCGGCACACAATATGGTGTCGTGACTAGACACGTGTGTATAAACTGTTTTTCATTTTTTACAAGGTGGAATAATTGTGTCGCTCGCAGTAGCGCGTCGATGATCAAATCAGATCGACCAGTTCCGCGTGACTGTCGATGTAAAAACTGCAACGATCCCGCGACTGCCTTCTATCACGAGAATCCGTACATTCGTTCGAGCAAACCGCGCAAATCCGGTCAGTTGGCCCGGACAACCCTATCCCTGATTGATCCGAGAACCGATCGTTTCAGACTGCCCAAAGTCGAGGAAAGAATGATGTCGGAGATAGAGTCCGCACAGGAGCTCACGAATTGTCGGCCGAGAGAACTTTTATTTCCGCTTTTAGTTCGTCCATTAGCGTCTGTCCGCCGTTGTTGTTAATCGCAACTCTTGTGTGTGTTATGTTGCAGTAAGTGAGGTAGTCGTCGACAAGTGGGCCCCACAGGCTTGATCCCACTCCGCCGTCGCCGCCACCGAGCGCGCAAAGCAAGCTCAACCCGAAAAAGCAAAGACAAACGAATAAAGCGTGGAATAACCGGCGCGCTTGCGTTTGCGCAAGCATCGCATTAGAGACGCTATAATAACAACAGAAACAACAGCAACAGCAGCAGCAGCAGTAGCAACAGCAGTAGAGCAACAGCAACAGTAGCAACGCGCTCGATAACTTAAAACCGCCCGTCGGCATCAGGGTCCTCGTAGTCGCTGGCTAACGCGCTGCAGCATCGCCTCGCCGCCGCTGCTTCCTTTCTTTTCTATCATCTTCTCTTCTCCCTCTCCGCAAGATCGCTGCGAGAGGTCGTTCGACTCGAGATCGTCCCCGCGACGAGAGCGAAGCGAACGGACAGCTTGGGGATAATCCAATAGGAAACTCTTCGTCCTTGGTGTCTAAAGCCGCAATTAACATTCTTAACTCAACGACTGTGCCTTCTTAGGGTGTCGGTTGCACCAACGTCGGCCCGCGGCTGAGTCCCGAGTCTCCGGTACGTTCGTTCTGTCCGTACGAGGTGTCGTCGTCGAAGAGAACGTAGCTGCGAGAATCGCTCTCGTGTCGTGTCAAAATTCGCGCTGGGCTCTCACGATTTCGATGTCGCGCGCGTAACCATCTTCTCTCGGAGCATTCGCGTCACCCGGATATTGTGACATCTAAAATAATCGTAAGAACGCTCAAACCGACAGTAGTAATACACAGAACATTTTTCACCGCTCGAGGAACGCTACGTTTTCATTTTTCACTCGACATCTCGCATCTCAGACAGAACCTTAGCGAGAGATTAGCCGAGCCAGACTCGTTGGTGCAACTCATCCTTAGTTTCCTACCCGAGCGAGGAACGGTGCGATGTAGCTGATGGCGAGAAAGTAGAGGAACGCTGCCTTGTAGTCCTTTAACCCCGAACGCCGATAACTCTGTACACAATGGCGTATTAGCGCGCATGACGCAACGCAACCATCCTTTCCTCCTTGTCCAGCTAGCTGCCGATCGATTCGATGTCAACCGCGTCTCCGAAGCGAATGTCCGCGCCGAAGACGAGACTAGTCTTCGAAGTCTTCGAGCGAGATCTGTGAAGTGAAATTTATGGTCACGACGTAACGAAAGAACGAGCCGATTCTCTCGACGATCTTCTTCGCGTGAATGAAGGAGACGACGACCAATTTGAGCGCTGATCCTTCGTTTAGTCCATGTACCATTGTCTCTTCCTTGTCTTCCTATATCTCTCTCAAGTTCACGCTGTTCTCCTCACCATTTTTCCCGCGTCTCTTCGCATTATCGACGCGACACTCTTGCTCTCTCTTTCTCTCTTCTCTCTTTCTTTCTCTCTCTCTCTCTCTCTTTTTCTCTGTCTTTCACTCTTCTCTTTATCTGACATTTTCTTTTCTCTCTATCCACTCCTATCAACGTGAAGATCTCGCTCGTGTTCCCTCGACTATCGCAAACCAGTCACGGTAACGATCTCCGTTTTCGATTGAAACTGAGTTGACCGTGTTAGAGCAACTCTCGTTTCTGAACGACGCGCATGCCGATCCCGTTAGCCTGTAAAAATGGAAAATCACCAGATATCGCTCTGACATGGTTAATTGGCTTCTCTTCCGGCCCACGGTGAAGATTGCCGCCTTTGAATCTTTCCCTGTATCTTTCACCGAGGCGCAAGTAGCGTCATCAGAGGAGACTTTCTTCTCGAAACAAGAACGCGTACCCTTTATCAGGAATCCAACCTCTTCAGCTTCCCAGACGCCGATCCCGCGCCCCCGATGCACCTGTAAAGATTAGGTACCCAGTCGCTCTGGGATTAAATACCCAGTCTCCTGTCAGCCATACGAACGACGAAATCCTCCGTAGCTACGGAACGTTCGTTCCGACGTGAAAAAGACCGTCACCCGTACCTGGAACGCTCAATGATGCCACAGTCCGTCCGTGCGCGTGCGCTCGCGTTTATCCAGCAGACAGTCGCGAGAGAGAATGATAAGAGAAGAGACAGAGGGTGGACGAGCACTCTCGACAGTCCTCGCGTCCGGATGGCCGAGAGAAAGGATCCCATCATGTGGAGCGCAAGGAAGAACGAAGAGACCGGTTCGCGCCACTCCGGGATCCATCGGGAATCGCGTCGCTGCGACGCGCACCTCGTAGGTCGAAGGTCAGCCAGAGGATAGACGAAAGAGATAGAGTAAGAGAAGAAGATCGTCCGGAGGAATCGTTGGGCCGGTACGAAGTCGACGAGGAGGGTGGTCGAGTGTTGACTCTGCGGAGAGAAACGAACGATGACGGTCTCGAGAGCGAGTGTGACGTAACTTTCGCGACTGGAGGCTGCCGTGATGAAGCGTTTCGCGCGAGTTACTGTGCCTAGTGGTACCACAGTGCGGCGTGTCCGTGACACGAACGATCGCAAATGCATTGTGGTACCACTAAAACTTCTCTCACACGAGCCACCGATCCAGTAGTAGTAGCAGTAGTAGGTAGTAGTAGTAGTGCCTGCAATGGCGCGAGTCCCCTCTTTGGCAATACCTCGTGGTACCTTCTTGATACATACACATGTACACACATGTACAAGGACGTTCTTAAAAAGAAAACCAACCCTTTCAAATAGAGAGCAGGAGATTACGGAGAGTGTCTCTGAGGATGGCTCGTGCGACGAGGGATCGCGGAACGAATGTTCGCCTCCGGACACGCATGAAACTTACGCCACCGGGGAGGTCCGATAAACAATGTCTCGCGAGAGTAAAGTAATTATTGTAAATAACCGTCGCGCACGCGGCGACATATATCACACGGAGGAGAGATTACTATAAATATATATATAGGTATACCGCATATATATAAACATTACATATATTTTCGTGAAGAAGCGCACAGATGGACGCGTCGTCGCTCTGCGGACGATAATAAATTATTGTTATCGATAAAATAAACTATTATTATTACTATTATCGTCATCGCTCTACTGTCGTTAGTATTATCGTTGCCATGAGAAGGGTAGAAGGAAAAGAGAACGTCTGCCCAGAGACATACCGGGCAGGCACGTGTTGTATCGTCGAAACGCGACCTCGCGAGAGCCGCGAGGGCTTCGAGCGAGAAGGATTCGAGGCTCGCGCGGTTGCGCTGGTGTTGACTAGCGTTTTTTTTTTCTTCTTTTTTCGTCTTCCTCGTTTCTCCTTAGTTATTCGCACGATTGATCGTGATTCTTCGTGATAACATAGAGGCGGAATTAGCCACCTCGCGATGAACTGATTGTTACTTAGAAAGAAAGAGAGAGAAAAAGAGACACGGCCATCTCTGCTCACTCCGCTGATCGCCGGTGACTCTCCTCGGCTTTTTCTCAGCTAAGACTCCCACTCTGGGAGTCCTATCGTAGCGATAAGATAATTAATAGTAGGCGCCGGTTGTGAAAGGCACAATTATCGCAAGAAGAGAGTCTCGTCTTCCCCGGGGTCTTTCGCGTCTCACCGTGGTTCTTCGTATCAATCGCCGACGGAGTTTTCACGTTAAGAGCGAACGTCCCAAATACGACCACAGTATCGCACGCTCGCTCGGTGTAATCGCGATTCCTTTTCCAATTGAAATTCGCCAGGAAATCGTCGCTCGCACTCTCCGTGTGCGCGGCCAACTTTTAAATCAGAATTTTATTAGAGAGCAAAGCCCGCTTAAAAATTAAGCGAAGACAAAACTTCGTAATCCATTCGGATTTCCCAAGTTTCGCTCGAAGGAGGAAGCTTCCCTCGCCAGCACTTTACAACTTAAAAACTGCCGCTCGTGCTCGGACGTTTCCGTCACAGGCACATCGTCCTCGGGCGCGAATTTACCGTAACGGCCATGCGGTGTCGCGAGGAAGCTGGATACGTTCGCGGTAACATCGCGAGGGCCCCGATAACAACACGTTATTACCGATACGCACACCGTGTAGATCGAGAAGGACTCCGCGTATTTTTATTCGGAGACGTGCCGTCGCACCTGACGCGGGGGAAGAGAACACGGTGTCGCAGAAGCACTTTCATTCGATCAAGTTATCGAGACACACGTCAGCTACTTTCTCGCTGCGGTCTGCTGGTGTTATTATCGTGTGTTGACATCCCCAAATGATATATGACCTCGTGCTCCACAAAATTTTTCTATTTCTCTTTCACTACACGCGGCATCACCGTCCTCAGTCTCTGCCATTTCTCTCTTTCTCTCGTTTACTGCTGTTCTTCTACTACTACTGTTACTACTACTTCTTCTTCTTTTCTTCTTCTTCTTCTTCTGTGTCCATTCTCGTCACGTCGGTCCGTTCGTCACGTCTCGCCGACCGTCGTCTCTCGTACTAATACATAACTAGCGATTAATTAAGAGTTAACGACCCGCGACGCAAAGTTTAAGGAATCGCCGCCAGGATGATTTCTTGCCGACTTTGGTTAGTAGGATAAGTAAAAACCTCCGCGACGAGCTTCCATCGGCGAGTGCACCATCCGCGCGCGCGCGCGCGCGTGCACGTTGCTGAAAAGCACTCGTCGCCGTTCGTCAAGCACAAACGACAGCCTGTATATATATGTATATCATTATGTACATTATATCTGTTACGTATTATGTACATACGTATATGTATATATATATAAAAAGAAAAAAAAAGATGATAAAACACACGAGGGCACAACGTCGTGCTCGCAAAGTGTCGCTCCATCGCTCGCGTCATCCCGATCGGCGCGCGCGTAGACATCCGCGTGCCGCACGCCCATCCTGTAATTAAACTTCATCATTTTTAATGTAATGTGAAAACTGTATCGTGGAGTGTAATATTCTTCGTACTTGTATAAAGGCAATCTCGCGCCCCGCGCTATGTGACGCTCCAATCGTTCTCGCTCGAATCGTCGTTTCACACACGTTTGGAGCATGTGTACTCTGTAAGAACGAATATTTCATTATTTCTTTTTTTTCTCGTCGAGAAACGGTGACAAACCTAGCACGTTTTTAATGTACACCGACAGCTCTGTACGAATAAAGGTTTGGAAGTAATCGTGTGTTCTCTCGCCGTAGTGTGTCTCCATCCCATCGAGATTCCCCTTTCTCGCGCGCGAGAAGAAGATTCCCTCCGTCAAATCGCGTCAGGGAGACAGCCGTGTCGCTCTTTTATTGGCCATTCTTTATTTGTCAAGAGGGCGAAATCCGGATTGTCGATCTTTTAACAATTCAATCTCGAGGCTGCTCTCTCGATTATGAGCGGTACGATCGGGATTCCTGGAGTGACATCGCGCCCCGGTCGTGCTTCGAGTTATCCTCAAGTCAAACACTCGCTTTTTCTCTCCCTCTGAGAAACGTGGAAACGCGGCCAGGTCTCTCCGGGATAGCTGACTCGAATAGCAATAAAGTCGGCGCCCATATGCAAATGCCGCAGCACCTAAGGAACGCAACGCGGAGAGTCGGGCGCGCACGTATCCGCGACACGCCAGTCGAAGTGTTAAATCACTCAAGAAGTTAGCGCGCGCGCGCGGAGAGTGTTTCATTTCAATTAAATTCACCGATTGTGCAATTCCGTGACTGTATCACATCACGCTCTTCGGCCCACCGACCACCACTCACGAAGCGTTATTTACTTTGTACAGTCGCGCTTGTATAATTTTAGAATATGCTGCGCGCGCGTGGAGACGTACAGACGCCGCGCCTCGTAAATTTCCAAGTCGGAGTGGCCTCAGTCTCGTCCGCTAAAAAGTAAAAACCGAAATGGTACACTTCGCAAATCGTACGCCGCGGGCCGGCCAGAACTTATTACTGCTTTGCATTGCAAATTTAAATTGTTTTCAGCGGCCACGGGATGATGCGGTCTTTGAAGATAAAACGCAAGGTGCACGACGGTACAGTAGAGAACGCGTATTTCCTGGGAAACGCTACCATCGCGAGCGGTCGCCTCGCTCGAAACACAAAGCGTACTATCTCGCTACGCGTTGCCGTAACTTCTATTCTCGCTTTCTTCCCATTTTTCTCTTGGTTTTTTTATTTTTAGATAAGGATATAATTCGCCCTTTGATTCGTTACAGAAGCTCCGAAAGTTCATACATATATTCGGAGCATCGAATACGAAACGCGCCGGTGACTTCGTTGGGATTAGGAGGACGTTTAGCAAATTAGATTAGCTCTGACTAGTTTCCATTCTACTGTACTTCATCGTCTCTCAATTCCGCACGTCGCTTGTTCGTCGGCAGCCTTTCGAGCTCTTGCGTCGTCTTCTCGGGCTTCGGCGTTAAATCGAATTTTCATTGTACCAGAATCAGTGAACCTTAAACGGACTGTGCGAATACGACGCCTTCGAGAGAATATCATATTTTATTAATTAGAACAACAAAGACATACGCGTTATTTAAATTGCATTTTATTTGTATTATTTTTATAATTTTATTATTATTATATCACGTATAGAAGATGATTGTAAAGAGACTTGGGTATTATTACAAATAATTGATATCATTGTAAGTATAATAATTGATATCACCCATTACAAAGATTATTGGTACCGTTAAGAGGGAAGGGAGAATAATTAATCTCTTTATATTATACCTTGATGCAGAAATGAACTCTTTGCATATAACTGCAAAAGACGACGAAATATTTTGCGTAAAGTGTGTAATAATGTAGCAACGTTTAGTAGCGGGAAGATATGAGAGCGTCGCGCGACAATATCAAAACAAAAAAATGTAAATATATTCTCTCGCAACAGTCGCCAGTTGTCGACTATTATCACTGCGAATCTCAATATCACCGCAGTCAAAACGCTCGGGACCTTCAAGGCGGTCAAACACGCTTTCGTGCGCCGCGTACTTCTACAAGTGTTTAGTACGTTTCCGGCCGAGAGACGCACACCACGGACTACCGGTGTGTCGGTGTACGTTAATCACTGCCGGGTGATGAAAATCGTTTGTCGAACTTCGAAGTATTAAGTATTAAAATATTGTTAAGGCTCTCATCGGTATCGCGTTATTTAACACATGTGTCTTTGATTCAATCGTGTCTACGTGAGTGTCAGTGTTAGTGCCACGAGGAGGCAATCAGTATGCTGAATTAGAGTGCCAGGACGAAACAGAACGCCGGGCATCGATACATCATCTATTTGCAAGGTGTGCCAAATCATTTATTGATTTTTTCGTTTTTAACGGAATCTATTTGACGAATTTACCGAGCGTACTCCAGTCGAAATTTAGGTCGGCATTCATAGTCCGTTATCATTTAATAAATAATCATAGAGTTTCATGAATCTTTGATTATTTATTGTACCTATACTTATTGCATTTAATACAATTTATTTCGTATAAGAAAAATACTGATCAAGACAGACGGCTCTGTAAATACAAATTTGTAGTTATGCTCTCAATATCAAAGATCTGAAATAATTTTTACAACTATGAATACCGTCCTTCAAATATAATATAAATCTCACAAGTGTTGATTTTCATGTGTAATAATGCTTTCTTAGCCGTGAGTCCTTATTGACATCAGACAAAGCCTTTTTTGCTTCTGTTTCAATCTTTGTCATACCAAGTTTAGAATTAAATCACTATTGATAAACAGCATTATTAGACATATAATTGTTATTTTTGTCTCTCCAGCTTTACATCAGTTCTTTTAAGAGCTACAAATCTCATCAAAGCTTCCGTTAACCTTTTCAGTGCTGATTAAAAATATCTGCATAATTTTCCTCAAAGCGGAGAGTTTTTTAATAAGTATATCTAGATTTCTTTTCTCTTTAGAGTTTTTTAATAAGTATATCTAAATTTCTTTTCTCTTTATTGTTATTTTCTTGCAAGAATTTTGGAAAATAGAATACAATATATATCTAATTTGTATTTGATTAGTATTTGAAGTTAAAAAAATACAATAGTTTAAGCAAATTAAAAAGAATTTAATATTTTATCACGAAACTTTCCTAGACATATCACTTAAGGGGTTAACAAAAAAAATACAAACAGAAGGAAAAACAAAAATTAAGAAGAGATGAGATTTATGTGTTGTTCTTTCATTTCTTTACCCACAAATTAATTTATTAAATAATTTAACATCTACTTATCCTATCTAAAAAATCTATATGTTTAGATATAAACTTTGTTTGAATACAGTCACATTTCGTCCATTACAAACGTATGTTTTATTTGCCGATTAATATTAACATATAATAACGCCATACTTTACTTACATATTGTTAATTATATTGTAATTTTTATAGTCTCAAATTTCTTCATTATCGAATCGCAACTATTCCGAGCCATTCGCAATCTTAGAATTAGAGGGTTAGAGTAATAAATAAATATATATAAATATAAATATATATATACATAAATAAATATATAAATAAAAATAAATAAATTCTGTTAGAATATATCGATATAATCGAATGTGTTAAATTCAAACCGAATATTAAATAATTCTTGAACGAGTGCTTCTTCGGACTTCTTCAATATCTTCGAGTTTCCTCAAGGCCAATAAACAACTATCAGTAGCATCAAGGTAAGTCAATAGACTAGTATTATATCTCGAGATTCTTCATTGATCTTTCAAATTCGATGAAATCTGCAGGACTAATGTTGAATCAAAATTTCGACTTGGGGTGCGTTTCTGTGAAAATACGAGTTTGTGCGAATTTTATATTTTTCGTTTTCATAAATTCCTTCGAAATGTTGCAAACTCAAAATCCTCCAAGCTTGCAGTTTCTAAGGATTTATAATTCTTAATCTCCAGATTTTTTAAAGTTTCATGTTTTCGTGTCCGCTGATCTTCTTAAACCCGTTTTCTTTTTTTTCGAGCCGCAATGTTCTCGAGCACGCACTTCTTCGGGATGCCAAGAGCATAAAATATTTACAGACACAACCTTAAGACTTCGGAACTTTTAATCTTCGTACTTTCTAGGCCTGCTCTTGGAGCATTTGTGTTACTCGAATCCCTCGAAACTTTAGCGCGGAAAATCCTTCATCCCTCTTCATGCCTCTATAGATCCGGCAATTCTCATTGATTTCGTTTAATTAAAACCGCGCCCGTTATCTCGCTCACTTCAGTAGCGCTTCGAGGAATCGTGCTTTTTCCTAGGTGTTCGCCACACAATGCCAGCGCATACTAAAATCGCGGGTTATTCGACGTGAAAATTTGTGCATAAATTCTCACAACGGGGTAAACCTCGAAAAAGTAAATATCAAAATGGCACAATTTGCAGCTCATTGTAAGCTGGCCCCGCATTATAAATTCAAATTGTCTTCAGCAATCATGGTGACGAGTTACGAACTCTGAAGACGAAGCGCAAGATACACGTTATATACGTTGCATATATTTATACTTCTCCGCGAGGGGTTCCACCGCAAATGCATTCTAGTTGCCTGCATTTGAGATATAACGCGCCGTAGATTGCTCCGTTTCTAGTATTTCTTGCGCGGCACGGAACATGTATTCCGGTTTATCCACTTACTATACATAGCAATTGTTACTTGGTAATACTTTAAAACTCCATTCAAAACTGCTATACCGCTTTAATCAAATCAAAATCTTAAGTAGAAGTCCTATCAGCAAATTAAACTTGCCGCTGATTTTTTAACACTCACTTTTTTAATTTTCGGGCAATTAAACCAAATAATTAGCACGGTCTCTTTGATCTTTGCTAAAAATAATTATTGTATCACAAATGCACGAGTTGCGAAATTTTTTAAACTTTACAAACGAGAAGAGAGATTGTGTGTAACACAATTAATCGTAACTTGGTTATCGTTGCCGACTCAAGCCGGGTAATTCTGATTACAAAAAGCCGGGAAATCGTTTTCACACAGATTCGTTACAATTCACGTGTACAAAATTCAATCTTCCTTTGCGCATTTAGACCGGCAGTTGCGTTTATTCGACGACCTCTCGTACACGTTTTCATTTGTTTTCAGCAGCAGTAGTACATCCCTGCGTTTGAGCAAACGTGTTGTATAAGCAATAATCAAAGGATATTTTAATAAGAAGCTTAGACTTCGCCGAAAATGAGCTTTCGAATTTTAATTAAATTAATTAAATAAGTGACGCGCGCACGCGCGTATGTGTGTAAATGAGATTGTTTAATAAAAATTTTAATTATAATTTTACGCGACTTCGTCGACGTGAGAGTTAATTAAATAATTATAATATTTTCGGAGAACTTATTCGACAAGTCGTAAATCATTTCTCACGCTTCTACGAGAAACAGAAATTAATATTTAATTAATCACGCGGTTGTTGACAGGATGAAAACATCAATCCCTATGAAACGAGAAAGAACACGTACACATGGCAAGACAGACTCGCACATGAACGCAGAGACGGCGTCGCGAACGTAAAAATACCTCGTTACGATTCATAAATAATAATAAACACGTGACACTTTTTACTCGAGTCGATTCACCGCGGTAGCAAACGACGAATGTTAATTAACTTGGCGATATCTGAAAAAGTAAACGCTCCAATTGTGCGCGTTATAAATCTTCACGGGGATATTTTTTACGAGATCATATCCTGTGTCTGTCTGTGTTACGTGCCGCGCGAACCAAATTTTCGCTGTCGCTCTTGCAAAACTGTTGAACGTAGTTTAATTGACTGCGTGACTTTGAGACTAATTCCTACGACGCCATAGTGAATAATATTATCCCGGACTTACACAGACATGCACACCGTCACGCATCGCTGGAGCATTAAGTCAAGTTAATCGTGATATATGACAACACTGAGTATGTGGAGAAGTTGTCTCGCCCATACCGAATTACACCCTATATCTTCATATTGCCAGCTTACCTTTAAGTGGTGCGCACATCAACGCACATAGTTCGTTGTTTGTTCGTACAACATGCTGCGTGCTCCATTATTTTACAGATTGTCAGACAGTGACCCAAATTATTAGCTCCAAGAGCTAAGCTTTTTCAAAATACCGCAAGATATTCGGGATACCAGGAAATTAGCGAAAATTTTCCTGGTCATATAATTGCCAATTAAATTTATTGTTGATTGATGACACTTACATCGTGATCATCATTTAATTTCTACGTTTTTTTCATATCCATATGGAGCATGCACTAGAAAAGATAAGCTTATGAAAAGGGCAAAATTTAATTAAAGTTGACCAGGTCGTCGGTGCGTTTCCATATCGCGAATATTACTTTTTCAATGTTACGAGATCTGACATATTTTTTTGACAGCGTATTTCTATCGGGGGATATTTGCTTTTGCACAGATGATAAATGTGTGTGTGTGCGTACTTACGTACGTGTGTGCATATGTGTGTGTATGTCTGTAAAATTTCATATGGCGCTATTGGAATAGTTTCGTTGTGTTCTCGTATTAATTTGTTTCTCACAGTTTCTTCAAATATTGACAAATTTCGAAATCGGATTAAACGTAACGAATGGTCGCTCTTCGTCACGATCAATCGGTGTGGACGCCGCTTTAAATCTGAAACACGATCAATACGAATATGCCTCACGCATAGTTCTGCGCGCGTAAAACGCTCGAAACTGCACACAGAATTCAAAGTCAGAATCACGCGAGACGATAGACATTCGATGTCAAAGCGCACGATGAGTATCGCGCGCGTGTTAAACTAATTGAACTCCGCCGTAATAACTACGCATTAGCTCTACGTTGAAATTGCTGCAAATTGCGAACATTTTCGCCAGAGTTAACTGCATTCAATCAAATGATCGTCGTTTAAATTTTGGCGCGTGTGTGTGTATGTGATCACTGGGAAATGTGTCGTGTGTATCTCGCCCAGAAATCCAACCAACTGATATACTTTCATATAATATACTGGTCTGTCAATGGCAGACAAGCGTTATCTGAGAATTATTAATACGCAACAGTGAATACGCATTGGCGCAATAAACTAGTCCCAGAGTGCTTTTATTATTAATTAAAATGTAATTATCACAGACTCGGATATTTTCACAAAGTCGACTCATTGCTAAATCATCGCTCGATAATATCATTAATTTAATGCAATTATATTGTAAAACGTCCGTAAATGTAAATAATAAATAGCGTGCCGTTATAGGTGCGCGTTATACGCACGCGACGTCGTCTTGCCGAGTATTTTTCTTTTTTGTTTTTTCAATCTAAGAGCCACATCGACGCT